CGTAACTGAAGCATTTACATCTTCTTTCACCAGCAAGAGGCCGGCCGAGTTTGATCTATTCTGTCTTTTTTGTATGTACTTCAGCTGAGGTACGACAAGGCCTCAGTTTGCGATTTTCCTGAAACAACCTCACCCTTGGTTTATCAAGCAGTTGTTGTATGATGTTTGTAGATAATACATAGTGTGCAAGAAAAATGTTTTGCCATAACATATATTAATCAGATTAGCCTTAACCTCCTTAGAGATCAAGTTTTATTTTCGTTAATCATATTCAGCATCGAAGGTGGTTCTCGGCAATAAAACGGCCAAAAACAAAAACTACCTTTAAACCATAGAAATTGACAAATTTGACCGATAGTCATAAAAAAAAGCTAACCGTAAAAAATTTTATGGTGACAACGATGGAATGATATTAACCGTTAGAAGTAAAAGCCATCACCCCATTGCAACCCTCCTAAAGGCGTGCAGGGTTTTTAAATTCCACTTTAGTGAGAAGATAGACAGATGCATACTGAATTAGTTTCTGTTTTGGAATTTATAGAGAGCGGTTGCGTAGATAAAGCCATAGAAAGGGCTAAGGAGTTTTTGGAACAAGGTCACAAAGAATTTCTGGACCACAACTTCAAGAAAGCCATTTCTCTCTACGATAAAGGAATTGAGGAGAAGTGTTGCGATGAAGAAATTAACAAAGATCTGCAAAAGAAGAAGGCAGAGGCAAAGTCTGTGATAGACTTCATAGGTAAGTGCTCTATTTTTGGGGTAAAACTAGTCTGCAGTGCAAGCTCATTCGAGCAACTTATCGCTAAGAAACTCGCGATCGTTTTTCGACCGGCCATGTTTGATTTGGAGTGATAGTATCGGTGTGAAAGGGCTAAGGGAAACGCAAAATATTCAATTACTCAATCCCCTATCCTCGCCTCTCCTCTTTCTTGGCCTTCGTTCATGATCACCCCTTGATACAAAATTCTGTTCCTAGCCTTCCGCTGCAAAAATCGAAGATGGTGGCTATAATTTTCGCTAAAGTAACACTGAGCATTCACCCGCCAGAACTACACCCTCTCGGCCAGGTGAGAGGGTGTAGTCAGTTTAGTCAAACTTTGGATAAAACCTCGTCAAAAAAGCCGTAATTGCTTTGATTTGGTAGAATCATCAAGAACTCCAGAACATGACGAAACTAATTGGGAATGTTTCTGTCTTGCGCGTCCCCTCGTTTATGAAAATAACCAAAGTCAAGCAGACAACAGGAAATAATTGGACAGAGTCAATAACTTGCTTCATTCTTAAAAAAATGAAACAAACTTCCCTCACTTTTTGTCAATCTAATGGTCCCATACCCTGGCGAAGCAAACAATTCTTGAATTAAAATTTCAGTCGTCTCACGACTTTGGTTTTTTCTATTAATAAAATAATAAATAATAAATTATTAATTAATTTTATTAATTAATTATTAACTATTAATAATAAATTATTAATTGCTCATGTTTTATTAACGTACCAAATTTAGCTTTTTTTTTWAAATATCATTTTGTAGACAAGAAGAAAGTTATTGAAGGATTACTGTTCTCTGGAGTAAATGGCGAAGAGTGGCCTAGGTGCACGTGGCTAATAGTTGTCATCAAAGATAAGAAGGAGGAAATTATTTTTGACAAAGTTTATGAAAGCAAAGGCCGTCACGCAGAATGCAACATGCTTGAAGATCCTGATTTTAAGGAAGTTCTAGGAAGAGACAGTCAGGATCTCACCATTACTTTAACTATCAACTACTCGCCGTGTTACGACTGCGCAGTTAAGTTGGAGGAATTCCGCAAGGAACACAAAGCCAAGATGAATTTGTTAATACGATTTTCACATCCGTATTATATTTACGAAAATGAAAATAAAAAAGGCTTACAGAAATTATACAAAGCAGGGGTAACCCTAGAAGCTATGTCTAAGAAGTCATGGCTTGATATTCTCGTTTGGCTGTTCCGAGATAAATTCAACCCTGAAAGGGTAAGACAAAGGGACAAAGAAACAAGTGAGAAGTTGAAAGAGGTGCTGAAGAAAGAAAAAGAGAAGGACGTAAAAAAAAAGAAAAAAGAAAAAGAAGGCGGGAAAGAAGAAGGAGTGCAAGGTAGATTCGAAAAAATGTCTATGAAACGAAAACCGTAAGTGTTTTACAAGTCAGTTTTACGGCTGTGAAAAGTCGACGGTTTATCCTAACGTTAGGGCTTACTTCCATCAGTCTTTCTGGTCGCTCAGGGCATGGTGTAACGACGCTGTGATGTCATAGGCCCTTCGGGCATGCGCAGTGGAATGAAAGGGTTTCCCGGATGTCGTTATTAAGCCTAGTAATGGCGGGCTTTTATGAGACTTATTAAAAACCGTTGTGTTGCCATCGTTCTTGCACTCGTTTGGACTACGCTACACATGGCCCATTCAAGATGTTNCAGTTAGGTGTCCGTAAAGAATTTTGCCAAGCACTTCCTGTTAGTTGGTTTCCGCAGAAGAACTTAAACTGAACAAATAAAATTGGAGGTCGTAAAGCTTGTTTTGGAACAAAGTTAAATAGTAATTGCAGTTATGAGCAGTTGGTTAATATACCTTTTTTAACATGTAATACTTTTGTAATCGGCGTCGAGAAGTGTTCGATATTTTTTACGATAATGTTAAGATAAGGGATCCAGCACCGGCGATAGACATTCCCTGAGATTACAAATGTTTATATATTATCAAAAAATAAAAGTCACATGCAATTAGCTGAGAGAAATGCAAGTCACACATTTGGCAGTGGTACTTTCGCTATAAAAGGTCATAAATGCATATTCCTAGCTCTTTCTTAAATATAAGTTGAAAGTCTCCGATTGTTGGACCCTCGTCTTTAGTTTGAGCCACAGTTTATGTGGAAAGAAAGCTCTCCTTTGGCCTGCAAAAAAAAAGAAAAGAAAAAAATTTAGTTATCAGAACTTGTGCTATAACTAATTTATTGGTGAGCTCCACGCAATAATTACAAGTGCCCCATGCACGATCTTGAATCAGCGTCAAAGAAGAGGAGAAAATCTAAAGGCCAGAGACAATCTAATTGTCAGTTTAACGCTTGAGTCTTCTGAGTAAGCTGGTAAATATGAAAAGTTGGATTGCTCTCACCTTTGTACAATGGTAACCAGTTCCAGCGGTCGTTCAGTTTCAATTGATTTTGTTTTCACTATCATCTCCTGTCCTTGTGCAAACAGTTGGGAGCGGCATGTTTTCTACGTACACATATTAAAGAAAATACATGCTGATTATTGACGAGCAATACTTTCGGGCAGAACTTGTGCTCTAATTAATTTCTTTGCCGAGCTCCGCACAATGTTTACAAGAAAATACCTGCTGTGTGTTGGCGAGCAATAAATTTGAGGTGATCTTTTCAAATACCTGTTCCTGTTCAGGTTGTAAATGTGAAATGCATTTGAGAAGATGAGTTCTTATCCAGATTCAACTGATTATCCTCCATTTCCATGTTGTTTTTCTCTCTGTTGGTCCTGATCGAACGAGTCCAGCTTACATGGAAACAAAAACAACCTCGACGTGTGTCTGTAGATGATGCAAATGAAGCCCCATAGTGTAAACATGTCTCCACGAGTATGAATTGGATGCACTTTCCTTAATGGCACAACCAGTTTATAGCATCCCAAGCAAGGTTGATTGAGAATGGTAGTTATAATAAATTTTGGGACCAAACAAAGAAAAAAACTCAAACTTCGTCAGATGTACCTTTATCCGCCATTCTTGTTTGAAACACTTAGCTCTAATGTTTTATTAAATAGTTCACGCCACTCCTCGGGCAAATGAAGGGTTCCTTTTGTTATGTTAATACCGCATTTTGGTGTAAGTAAGAGATAAATTAATTTCTCAGTCAACCTTCAGGACTTTAGTCAACCTTCAGGACCTTAGACTCTACATCAGGACTTTAGTCTTGCCTACCTAGTAACCTGCTTTATCAAACCTTGAGCGTTGTTTCTTAACTGAGCTGAATCATCTTCACAAAGGTGGGTTTTAAGCTTCATTAACAGTACATAAAGGGGAAGAAGGAACCCGTAGAGTATATTACAAGGTCAGATGCTTGGTGTTCGCATTTAGATCGATGTTTACTGCAAACTGCGAACATTCTTGAGACAAGTCCTTGTTTCTGTGTTTGTGTATGTGAGAAGGTCCACATGTAGTGCACTGTTTTTCATTGAAACGAATTCCAGATCATTTAGGCTTCAGCGACGGGTCGGGAAACGGTCGACCCGCGGATTGCATGATTCTAAATAGGCACCTTAAGCAGTCAAGACGGCAACATCGAGGAAGATGCTTACGTCTATCAAAAAAAATATTTTTTTAAATCTTTAAATTTTAAAATTTTTGAATTTTTACCCCTCCAGCTCAGCCACGCGGAGATGGCGTGTAGTATTATTCGTGTTGAATAACACACGAACTATAGTACTTAACGTATATGTGCACGATCCTTCGCAGTAAAGCACTATTAAAGCAATAGTGAAAATCAGACCTGAAAGAAATTCAGGCCTGTACGGGATTCGAACCACTGACCTCTGCAATACTAGTGCAGCGCTCTACCAATTGAGCTAACAAGCCAACTGGGAGCAGGCCATCAAATTAATTCGACATAAACCCGTAGATGATAAATCAAACAACAAACATATGAAATACATATATATGAACTGCGGTTATGAAACGTATATGTGCACGATCCTTCGCAGTAAAGCACTATTTAAGCAATAGTGAAAATCAGACCTGAAAAAAATTCAGGCCTGTACGGGATTCGAACCACTGACCTCTGCGATACTAGTGCAGCGCTCTACCAATTGAGCTAACAAGCCAACTGGGAGCAGGCCATCAAATTAATTCGACATAAACCCGTAGATGATAAATCAAACAACAAACATATGAAATACATATATATGAACTGCGGTTATGAAACGTATATGTGCACGATCCTTCGCAGTAAAGCACTATTTAAGCAATAGTGAAACTTTGTTTAGAAATGCCAAGCGATTCTGTAATTGCGTTGGTTTTCTGTTGTCAAACTAACATGAACGAACCATACTAGAGACAATAGAACACGTAAACATGGTATATAAAGCTTGGGAGGTCACGTTCCCAACGTAATGGTTACGTAGGACCCCTGTGGCATGAGAGTACCGTGGGTTACTGTGGGTTAAGGAGAACAGCTTCAAGTTCAGTAAATATGTCAGTGGCTTTCACTTGAAAAACAATCATTTTTATCTTGTGACCAGCTTCTGAACAATCTTAACATCTTTTGTTTGCTTGCAGGTTTTGCAACATTGGTTTGTAGGGCTACCAACTGAAATAGTGTCGTCTTGCAGTCGATATTCAGTAGGAACGAACCAATCTCTATTGACAAAAATGGCCAGTGGTGGAAATAAAAAGAAAGGTAAAATAGTTTCTTCGACAGTAACATAAACTTCACCATTAAGTTAACTCGTAAATCGTTGTAAACAGAAGCGAATGCGTCGAAACTACAAGGGGCGTTTGACGCATATTTATTATGAGTTCTTTAGCTCTTTTCTCTAACTGCAAAAAGCTTGCATTGTGTAGGAATTAGACCATGAGCAGAATAAAACCACTGCATTACTGCTGCTTGATCGCTTCAAATCGCATTCACTGGCTCCATACCGTGGATTATCATCACCACAACGCCAATTTTTTTTTAATATAAATGTACCAATTTTATGTATTTACACTTATTTTCGTTATATAAATCTCACTCAATCAATAAAACTACAAAGTCATAGAAAAAAGTAAATAAGAAATGCAAAATTACTTTAGATAAGAGAAAAGTGTCGCGGCCAAAGGGGCAAAAGCTTTCGAGTTGGCCACTGGGAAGTGATTCAAGTTGAAATGAAATGCATTCCTTTCAATCAATTTAAAAAAATAGTAAAAGCAATTCCTCATTGGTAGCCAGATATTGGTACCAAAAGTGTTTAAATTAGTTTCTATTATATTACACAATATTCAAACTCTTTCTATGTTAAAATATTATTCCTTGTGATCCCCATAAACTTTCTGTGGTAAATTTTTAACTCCAAAGCCTTAGTCTTGTGAAGCCATAATTTGTTCTGGAAACTAATGTACAAGTTTTGTTTAAAGGCATATCGGGAAATGATAGTTATGAACTTTAAAAGCAGTTAGTCAATGAGAGCATAGGGGATTACTGTTTTGATATCTTGTAATTTCTGTTCAAAAAGGAAATTTTTCATTTAAACATATTATCAAGTTTTTGAATAATCACCAAATGGAAATGTTGTGTTGCACTTTCTCTGGATGCGCACAGAAGATAGAGCTTTGTGGAGCACGAAGTACCCCAGTTCATCAAGGAATAGTTTAAATATGGATATATAAGAGTATAAGAGAATGTATTGATGGGGCCACTATTTTTGAGCTTGTATAAAATCTCCCGATTTTTTGTCAATTTGAAAGTAACTTGTAACTACATCAATAGCAGAAAACGTTTCGGAGAGAATTACCCACTCATGTAAAAAATAACTCGTTTTTAGACCAACTTCAATTTGCAGATGAACGTATTTGTTACGAATAAAATATTTCCTGTGCAGATAATTATTTTTTGAAGAAAATTCATTTTCTAGTTTTGAATGTAAGTTACACGTATTTTTTGTAGGGGATCTCATAATTGAAGAGCGGAAGTCCTAATGTCATTGTTGTGACAAGCACTGAGTTTAATAGGGAACGCGTTTTTCTCAGGAAGTCTTATTTTCGAAGGAGTTTGTAATTGTTCATTCACGAATTTCTTCAGAGAGTTGTTTCTTCACATTTCTTCATAGCTTCGACCTGGGATGTTAGTATCCGTCGTTAACAGTTAGCAGTGTGTTTAAGGAATTTTGCTCAATACTTCCTATTGTATAGTCCCCATTCACACCAGCAAAACATGTTTAGCTAAATCCGGTTCAACTGGATGAAAATCAGCTACAGAAAATTGAAGTATTTTATAGGTTCAAGTAATCACTAACCTCTATTTTCATTGCGTGAAATTTGAAGTCGACAAACATCAGTTTCAGCCACTTCTATGGAGAAAACATTTTTAGAATGTGTCTAACAAAACAGCTTAAAAGCGTGTTTTAGCTTTAGTGTGCATGGGGTAACAGTACTTGTAGTGTCACTATGAGCAGTTTGTTCATATACAGTTCTGATGCTTTTTTGAAAATTTTTATTCCCTACATTGCGTTATACTAATAGTGATAATAATAATGATAAAGACAAAGGTAATAATAACTTTATTTCAGTGTCTAAGGGATCTAACACCCGCTGAAGGCAGGCGCTAATTGGGGACCCTTTAATAACAATCCTATTCACCTAAAAATACTGTAACAATTAACTGACTTAGACTAGGTTTACACTAGAGGAAATTGTTCCGGATTCGTGATGAATCCGAAACCTTTGAGTACCGGATTCATTCTGCCGTTTAAACGAAAGTGGACGAATCCGAAATAAAAACTTCCCGGTTTGGTCGTGTCTCCGGAGATTTTGAATCCGCAATTTAAAGTGGGAACTTTGAATCCGATAACTTTTGAATCCGGAAAGTTTTGTCGTGTAACCGCTTTTTTTCTCGAATCCGGATATTATTTCCACCTGCAATCTTTTGAGTTTGCGGTGAAACCAAAATGGATCTGGTGCTAACATTGCTGGCGGTCTCCGGTTGCCTAATCTTGTTGCAGGTTCAGGCGATAAATTTTATCATGTGTACCGCAGTATTTCTGAAGAAACGCAAATTATTATTGCAAGGAAGTTTAACGTCAGCCACACTTAATCGCCGACGACGTAGACTGCTTGGCATCTGTCCAACTCAAATTTGCCTCAGTGGCATCTGGATCTACTCTAGCCTTTTTTGGGGGAGGCATTTTCACTTTGTCGATCGAACGACGAAACAACACTGGGCTTGGTAACCATTCCATTTCGAATGTTCCCGGAGTTGTCGTTGTGTGTAAACGGTCAGGAATCCGAATATCCTTTCAGTGTAAACGCCTACGAATCCGAATACTCCAAAATTGATGAATCCGGAAACATTTACGAATCCGGAAAACTCTCCTCTAGTGTAAACCTAGTCTAAGTGNATGCCACTGTTGTGACAAATAGCGAGTTTGATAGGGAACGCGTTTTTCTCAGGAAGTCTTATTTTCGAAGGAGTTTGTAATTGTTCATTCACGAATTTCTTCAGAGAGTTGTTTCTTCACATTTCTTCATAGCTTCGACCTGGGATGTTAGTATCCGTCGTTAACAGTTAGCAGTGTGTTTAAGGAATTTTGCTCAATACTTCCTATTGTATAGTCCCCATTCACACCAGCAAAACATGTTTAGCTAAATCCGGTTCAACTGGATGAAAATCAGCTACAGAAAATTGAAGTATTTTATAGGTTCAAGTAATCACTAACCTCTATTTTCATTGCGTGAAATTTGAAGTCGACAAACATCAGTTTCAGCCACTTCTATGGAGAAAACATTTTTAGAATGTGTCTAACAAAACAGCTTAAAAGCGTGTTTTAGCTTTAGTGTGCATGGGGTAACAGTACTTGTAGTGTCACTATGAGCAGTTTGTTCATATACAGTTCTGATGCTTTTTTGAAAATTTTTATTCCCTACATTGCGTTATACTAATAGTGATAATAATAATGATAAAGACAAAGGTAATAATAACTTTATTTCAGTGTCTAAGGGATCTAACACCCGCTGAAGGCAGGCGCTAATTGGGGACCCTTTAATAACAATCCTATTCACCTAAAAATACTGTAACAATTAACTGACTTAGACTAGGTTTACACTAGAGGAAATTGTTCCGGATTCGTGATGAATCCGAAACGTTTTAGTACCGGATTCATTCTGCCGTTTACACGAAAGTGGACGAATCCGAAATAAAAACTTCCCGGTTTGGTCGTGTCTCCGGAGATTTTGAATCCGGAATTTAAAGTGGGAACTTTGAATCCGATAACTTTTGAATCCGGAAAGTTTTGTCGTGTAACCGCTTTTTTTCTCGAATCCGGATATTATTTCCACCTGCAATCTTTTGAGTTTGCGGTGAAACCAAAATGGATCTGGTGCTAACATTGCTGGCGGTCTCCGGTTGCCTAATCTTGTTGCAGGTTCAGGCGATAAATTTTATCATGTGTACCGCAGTATTTCTGAAGAAACGCAAATTATTATTGCAAGGAAGTTTAACGTCAGCCACACTTAATCGCCGACGACGTAGACTGCTTGGCATCTGTCCAACTCAAATTTGCCTCAGTGGCATCTGGATCTACTCTAGCCTTTTTTGGGGGAGGCATTTTCACTTTGTCGATCGAACGACGAAACAACACTGGGCATGGTAACCATTCCATGTCGAATGTTCCCGGAGTTGTCGTCGTGTGTAAACGGTCAGGAATCCGAATATCCTTTCAGTGTAAACGCCTACGAATCCGAATACTCCAAAATTGATGAATCCGGAAACATTTACGAATCCGAAAAACTCTCCTCGAGTGTAAACCTAGTCTTTCAATAACAGTCACATGTTTCAAGGCCAAACCTATGTATAATTAAAAGAAAAAACATTTCCTCAGATTCCAAAATAAGAAATATTATTAAATTACGCCGGTCTTGCTGACTAACGAGTTTCAACAGACTAACTGTCTCACCCTAGTTTTAAATTTCATAAGACTGCTTACAGCCGCTTTCATTTTGTGACAGACGGATTATTCTCAGGCTCATTGCATGTGTAATCAGAACTGCCCCTGCATCTCGATTACCTTCGAGGGAGAAGTTCAGTATTTGTCACGTTGTTTGAGGTAGATGTCCTCAAAACCTACTCATTCTTTTCGTGACCCGAAATCCTTCGGCTTTTATCAAACGATTTTCATTTTACTTCCACCCCCAGGGGCGGGGGAAGGGGAGGTAAGTAACATAAAATCCTTCCAAAATAGAACTGAGATTAACAGAATTAGAAACATTAGCTACGCGCACCTCGCGTCCTCGATCTCATCGGCATTTTCATATGGACCATGTTTATTTGTTATGCGGAACGGGTACTTCATACAATCAGTATATCTGCATGATATTTTTCCATTTTGTCCATTGCTCTTTCTTGTAATTACGCTATCAAATTTTGGTCGCTTATCTCTTACTTTGTAAGAAGAGTTTAAAGACTCATTAGAGGAAACAAAAGAAGCCTTACAGTTGCTATCAACTGACAAATTAGCCCTATGAGCAGGTATGATCAATAATCATCAAACGTTATGCTAATCTCTAGTTTCGCCTATGTTGTCTTCGTTTTGAACTAGTTGTACCGATATAAGTATATAGTTACATATTGAAATATATAGATAGAGTGTAGACAGAGAAAGAAGAAGAAGAAAGACTATCCTCGTTAATCCTGTATTTTTCTTAACA